TTCAAGACACAGTTCAAATTTATCCTCACCTGTTAAACCTTACCTGCCTTCTGTGGACAGTGTTAGCTGTCTTTTCCCCCTGCTTCACAGCTTTTCTTCCCCCTCTGCCTGGCATGTAGTAAGTGCTCAGGAAGCATTTGCTAGGTAAATGAGTTTTTGGAAAAGGTGGTGGTTGGGAGGGGATTTACACAGCTTATTAAGCATTACAGTCTTTCTCTTCCAACTTAGTACTTTGATCTTAAGTTAGTAAAACAGTTGAGAGAGTTAAGGAGATTATCTTTACTTGATACTTTTTGGTCCCAAGGACAAAATACTGTTAGTATTTAGGCTAATTACATTTGTGGAATAATTATCCATTTTGTAATACTTATAATGGAGTCCCTAGGTGGTGCAAACAGTTAAGTGCTCCACTGCTAACCAGAAGGTTGGCAGTTTGAACCCACCCAGAGGTGCTTCAGAAGACAGGCCTGGCATTCTGCTTCTGAAAGGTCACAGCCTTGAAAACCCTATGGAGCACGGCTCTACTCTGTACACATGGGGTCACCATGAGTCGGAACTGACTCCATGGCAACTGACAACAACAACAACAATAATTATAAAGACAGATAATATTTAATTAGTGCCTGCTGTGGGCTAGGCCCTGTGCTGAGCATTTTACCTATGTTATTTTATTCTCATGTCAACTTTATGAGCTAGGTATGAGTTGGAATCTATTCGATGGCAGTGGATTTTATTGTTACTGTACCTGTTATATAGAAGAGGAAACTGAGACTCTAGTAAAGTGACTTGCCAAAAACTACATAGCTAGCAAGGAGTTTTGGTGACGCAATGGTTAATTGCTCAGCTACTAACTGAAAGGTTGGCAGTTCGAACTCAACCAGCTACTCCATGGTAGAAAGACGTGCTGATCTGCTCCCATAATGATTACAGCCCAGAAAACCCTGTGGGGCACTTCTGTTCTTTCATATGGGTCGTTATAAATTGAAATCAACTCAACGGCAATTAACAACAAGAACAAGTAATATGGTCTAGATTTGAATGTAATCTGACTCTATAGCTGGCTTTTTGGGCTACTGTATTATACAGCTTCCCTCTTCGGTAGTATTAGGGTAAGAGAATTGTATGGATGAGTAAAATAAAGATGATTTTAAAGGTGAGTATTTCTTGAGTATTTATTGTGTTTATGGAGGAACCAGCTGTTTTCTGGTTTGTGTTGTACACTGTTGTTTTCTTCACTATTATTTCTAGTAGGGCGCAGTTATCAAATGCAGATTTAGTTTTAATTTTACCACGCTGTGTATATGTGAAGGAATAATTATGACTGTAAAGTAGAGTGGAGTGAGAAGTAACTTAAGTGTCCATTTAATATTGCTCAAGTAGTAAGTCATTAAATTCCACTTCTGATGAATATATAAAGATTGCTTAATACTAGTCTGCCAGGAAACACACACACACTCATAGAGGTAGATGTGCATGTAGATATATGTTGCTAGAGATAGTTGGAGATGTATTTTCAGAGAGGAAGAGTTTTTTTTTTGGAGGGGGTAGAGGAGGTATGGTTTATACTGTCATTTGTTTGAAGGTACCCAAAAAGAATAAAATGTTTTGTTTACAAAATATGGAAGAATCAAGTCTTAATTTGAAAAGTTTAGGAAATACTTGTTCCCTAGTTCAGAAAGTATTATCTCCCTGCTATATATCCCATTCCCAGCAGCTGAAAATACAATCGGACGATTCCTTTCCTCCTTTTTTTCCTTCTTGCCTAAAGGGACATATGTACTTTATGACATCTCCTGTTTTTCAGAGTCTTCTGAGTATGTGATTCATTTTGAATTGGTGTCAGCAACCCCCTAAGAGCACTAAATGTCTCCGTTGTCTTAGCCTGGTAGTTTACTAATAAAATACATGGAGTTGAATTTATTCAGTTATATGTAATTGGTAGTGTTCCGGTGCAGGCATGCCTTACATGACTTTGTAGAATAAAAAACACCTCATTCTGCAGTTTTTATTTGTTTAGGACAAAATTTCAGGAAACAGCTTGGCCGTTGGCAAAACTGCAGTTGAATCAGAGACATAAAGTTGGAAGGGATATAAGTAGGTGAAATTTGTCTCGAGGATGTTCCTCCCTAATACACACACACACACACACACACACACACACACACACATCCTAGTTGTAAAGACGTTTTATGGACCTATAAGGCATAAAGTATTTGATCCTATTATGGAGGTTGGGGAGGATCCTAGAAGAGGACTTTGTGGCTGAGACCATAGGTGACTGTAGAGCAAGGCAGGCGGACATCTGGTAGAGTAGAGAGGGGCAGATGTGTATGGCAATGCCAAGGGAAAGGGAGAGGAAAAATGTCTTCATTTTCATGTCTGTTTCACTGAAGGCGGTGCTGCTGAGGACCTCCAGGACGATGAGGGACCTTAACTGTGCTCTGGGACCTGTTTCAGTTCTGCTTTGGAAACCTCAGGGCTGGGCCTCAGGGAAAAGAGTTGACAGCTGTGGCTGGGGAGGGGCCTAACTCAGCATAGTGGGTCAAAAAGCTACATCACTAGCTCTGTCACCTTCCATTCTTGCTGAACTGGTTGCTAGCTGAATGGAAAGCTTGATTTGTCTGTTGATAGGCTGTCTTGGGGAAGCCACGATAAAGAATCTTCTGCTCCCCCATCTGCCGCTGCTTTTTAACCTGTGACCTAGAAAATGGCATTCTGTTGAGGCTATGGGATTTGAAGAGACCTTAGACAGTCTTGGAACTTGGGTTGGATAAACTGTCTTGTGTTCTTGCTGTGCTGCATTGTGATTACCGTATTGCTTCAGGTTTACTACCTGCGTCTTCTAGCCGCAGAGGACATGGAATCTGTCTTAAGTTCCCATTTGTAAAAATAGCTAGCTTGTCTCCTCTCTTCCTGTTCTTTCTCAGCTCTATCCATTATCCTTCATTTTGCCCCCGTTTCTCATATTCAAGACATCCAGCATTGATTGTTACTATTTTACTTTCAGGCTTGTCCCTGCTGCAGCCATCATTTCCTCTCATTTTGAAGTCCCAGGAATTTTGTTTTAAGTTGAATTTGATTACAACACTAACTAGCCCATTTCTGCTTAATGGTCAACTGATCATATAACTCTAATACCTATTCAACACTTTAAAAAATTAGAGAGAACAGTAATAGTTACAATACTGCTATTAGTACCTTTTGACATTGAGTAACAGATGGGTGACATGTCTGATGAATAGGGTGGCTGCTTAGATTGCTTCGTTATACATTTTCGTGTGACTTTAAAAAAGTTGCATGCAAGCCAACTTCGTCCATTCAGGTACGTCTTGATATTATATAAGTATCAGAGCACTTCAGTCTTAAAAGAAGCCCTCCCTCAGTGGTTCTCCTCCTTTATTTTTCTAGGGTTTGCCACTGAACAGGAAAAAACAAAACAGAAACTATTAAGAATGGTTTTAGTTCTGTGGTCTTTCCTGGTCTGAATAACACTTTTAAAGTTTTTTGAGTAATACTGTTATCAGTCCATGGTGTTTGGCATAGTGTTTGGGATGGTCTTGGCTAGGGCCACTGGGTACAGACATGAAGTTTTATAGGAGGATAGCCCTGGTACTGATATACTTACGGAAACAGTTGTAATTTTATAACATAAATCAGGGCTTATCTGTGCCCTCTGGACTTGATTTGATGGGGCAAGGGTAGGGGGACATATTTCTGCTAGCTATTGTACTAGATTCCTAGAACAGTTGCTTAATTAATGGGCCAGGTGTGTTTCACAGGTCTTGCTGAATCATCCGCTATCTTCCCGTGAGACTTCCCCATGTATTTATTGGCTTCCAAGTGAATGTTCAAATATAACTTGTTTGCTTGATTAACACAAGCAAAGGTTGACTGTAATAAATAAATGATCATAGAATGATGACACATTGAAGAAATGTGAATATTTCTAGCCTCTCCAGAACCTGTTTGGCTGGGGGAGGATGGTCAAGGGTATGGATAATAAAAACGGTTTTGACTCTGAGCTCTACCCAGAAGTATTTCTGCAACCTAAAGCCTTCCAGGACTCTTCACTTTTAGATTTCAGTGAAGCTGCCAGACTAAAACAGACTAGGAAGAAAAGCCTGGCAATCTACTTAGAAAAAATCAGCCAATGAAAACCCTGTGGGTCACAATAGTCTGATCCCATTGTGCATGAGGTTGCCGTAAGTTGGGGGCCAACTCTATGGCAGCTTACTACTACTACTATTATAAAAGGGTTTATAAAATAAAATGAATGGGATGATAGTTTTCATTACCAAGGTCCCATGGATGCTACTAAGACCTAAACCAGATAGCAGTTTGCAAAAACAAGACCGAAGAGATCACCACAAAGGAGACAGTGAATGATGGGTAGGTCAGTCTTGGGCCTAAGGGAAGAGTCTTTAGAGGCCAACTGTTTGTTCAGGCAGCCAGCCACAACTAAGGTTCTAGGCTGAAGAATGTTGGGACACATTTGCTGAAGAACAGAAGTGATGAATGGTGTAGCCTGAGGCAGCAAAGGAGGAACACAAGAGGAGATCAGGAAGCTAGTCCTAAAAAACAACTGAGAATTATACCATACTTGGAAGTGATGCCAAGTCAGGTAAACTTCAAGGTAAAGTCTGAGTATCTTGGTCTGCTGCATAAAGGGGTGGAAGAGACCAGAGACTGAATACAAGAACTAGAAGAGACTTCCACAGTGATATCTTGAAGAAAGGCCATGAGAATGTCCATATCAGCAGCCTACCACAAGATATTTTAAGATGTTTTTGTGATTCTTTCTGTATTGCAATCAGAACCTCTTTTGAAAAATGTGATTTATTGTACATGTGTCAGAAACAACAGAGTAGGAAAGGCATTGTTGTTGTTAGGTGCTGCTATGAACTACTAAAAATTTAAGGTGGAATATATTGGTGTAACCTTTTTCAGATACGATATTTTAAGCAGAAAATAATAGTTGCTATCTTTTTCTTTTCTTTCAGCTGAAGTGAGTAGTGAATACAGTATGGACAAGGCGATGATTGAGTTTGCTATAATGGATCGGGAACTAAACCATTACATAAAGGCTGTTCAATCTGCAATAAATCATGTAAGTTTAATATTTATGTTTATGTATACCCACTCTCTTGGGTATGTTTGGTTACAAGTTACTGACCTAGAAATATGAACACAAAATCAAAATCCATCACCAACCTTTAATATTTTCTTATCCTTACTCTAGCAGCTATTAATTTCCTCTTAACCAGGAAGTCTCACAGAATAGTAATCTTAAATATTTTCCCAGCTAGGCCACCTAGGTTAATTAGGATATTAAATCTATTTTATATTTCCTTGCATTTCTTGTCTTGAAATTTTTAGTCTAAGCATCCTGTGGGTATGAGTAAATTGTGAAATGCTAAAAGTTGTATATAACTTGTTTTTATTGTTATGTCTGCGTAAACATACAATTTAGACCAGGTTCAGTTACTCATTCTCTAGTTTAACTACTCTGCAGCTATTGCGAAATACAGTCGATCAGATAATATGGAAGATTTTTAGAGCAAGTTTAAAAATAAAGAAGGTTGGCATTTTGGTTTTTCCAGGAGCCAGACTTATCTTTGTTGAGTCCAGCAGCATAAGGCAGTTAAGGTGGGAACATAGCAACATCCTTTTCAGTACTATGTTGAGTAAGAAATGAGCAATGCGATTACAGTAATGTTTCTGAGAAGTCCTTTGTTCTCGGAGCAGTGGAAACTCCCTGTTGAACTGATTTTAGTATACCTGTGTAATAGGGTGTTCTTGTGCTTCTGGTTTCTTTATTTGTCTTTTCATATGTGTAGCTATGGGAAAATTCCAAAAATACAGATATTTTCCAAGATTGGCTACTATTCATTGGAATATAAAATTTTAAATATTATTTAATACTTAAGCCAGTAAAATGTGTATTACATAGTTATATGAAATTTTTCTGTTTTTTATGGTTATTATTCATTCAGCATAGGAGTCTCTGGGTGATGCAAACAGCTAAGTGCTCAACTACTAGCCAAAAGGTTGGTGGTTTGACCCCACCCAGAGGTGCCTTGGAAGATAGACCTGGTGAACTGCTTCTGAGAGGTCACAGCTTTGCAGACCCTGTGGAGCAGTTCTACTCTGCACGCATGGGGTCGCCATGAGTCACAGCTGACTTTGATGACAACAACAACATTTATTTAGTATTTGTGACTAATTTTAAGAATACCTGCTTATACCTGTTTAACTTGTAAAATTCTGATGTTTCTAGCCATTGTGACTCTTAGTCCTGGTACTGTAGTTCTTCCATAGGAATATATGAAAATAGCATCATGTTGGGGCTTACGAAACTGAATAACAAAGCTCTTATAGCAGAGGTTCTCAGCCCTAGCCGACCCCTAGAATCAGCCAGTCCCTACCCTCAGAGATTCTCATTTCATTGGTCTGGAGTAGGGTTGAGACAGTAGTATTTTTTAAAAACTTATTCTAATATGTACCTGGGGCTGAAAACCACTGACTTCAAAGAACAAAGCTGTCTTTAGAAAATGTATCTGGTGTTTGCTACCAAAGATCAGAGTTAGGCCTGTTATCTGGATTAGTCTTGCTTTGACCCTTACATTCTGTGGAGCTTATTTGATGGGCCTTTTTATCTTTAACTTTCATATGTGCAAATACAACAATATAGTATATATTATAGGTAAGAAAAATCAAGCTTTGGAGTCAAAGAACTTAATGTTGGTTTTTTATTTCAAAATTAGAACCCGTAAGTATTTAAGGTATTTTTAAATTAAGAATTAAACTCTTCCCACGTCAAGAAACTGTGTCACTTGCAAAAAATAGTCAAACACAAAGACCACTCCTCACCCCCTCTTCCCCACCACCATTTAGTAATTCCCAGCATTTCTTCCATCTTATCCCTTTATCTTCATCCCACTATATGAGGAATATTAATGCTTTGAGTTTTATCCCACTTTTTAGCCCTAACCTTACACTAGACTAGAGGACATTGGCTTTAATGATTCTGATACTCAGATGGGAAGGTCCCTGGTCTTTCCTAAGAGGAGAAACCATGTTTTTATTTGCCTTTTCTGATGCAAAGTTTTGCCCTCTGTGCAAGCTTGATAAAATACCAAGAGGAGTAAGTCATTTAGTTTTATCGGATTTCTAAGACCTGAAACCATATAGAGGCATAGTGGGGATATGACCGTTATTTTGAGGGAAATGTTTTATGCCTCTTTACATACATGAAGTTATGGGCATTGCTATCTTATTGCTTGTTTTGGTGATGGAAAAAAAAAAAAGAACAGCAGCTTAGGAGGGGCCAGGATGGTGTAAACACCAGAAACCCACTGCCGTTGAGTCGATTCCGACTCATAGTGACCCTATAGGACAGAGCAGAACTGCCCCACAGGGTTTCCAAGGAGCAGCTGGTGAATTTGAACTGCTAACCTTTTTAGCAGCCCCCCTCTTAACCCCTGGGCCACCAGGGTGGTATAGCTTTTTAGAAATAGCACTGATCTAGGGATTAGAAACACTTCCAGCCCTGGTTCTTCCACTTTTCTAAATTATGATCCTCGCTCAATGGCTTAATCTCATGGAGCCTCATTTTCTTCTTCGAAAGTTCTTGGCCCGTGTCTTAGTTATCTAGTGCTGCTATAATAGAAATACCTCAAATGGATGGCTTTTAACAAACAAATTTATTCTCTCACAGTCTAGGAGGCTAGAAGTCCTGAATTCAGGGTGCCAGCTCCAGGGGAAGGTCTTCTCTCTCTGTCAGCTCTCTGGGAAGGTCCTTGTCATCAGTCTTCCCTGGGTCTAGGAACTTCTCAGTGCAGGGACCCTGAGTCCAAAGGACATGCTCTGCTCCCGACTGTTCTTGCTTTGTGGTAATGAGGCCCCTCTCCTCTCTACTTGCTTCTCTCTTTTATTTCTCAAAAGAAATTGACTCAAAATACAACCTAATCCTGTAGATTTTGTCTTGCCTAATTAACGTAACTGCCTCTAATCCTGCCTCGTTAATGTCATAGAGGTAGGATTTATAACTCATAGGATAGTTACATAAGATCACAAAATGAGGGACAACCACACAATCCTGGAAATCATGGCCTAGCCAAGTTGACACGTATTTTAGGGGAACACAGTTCAATCCATGACAGCCTGCCTGTTTCACAAGATCATATGTGAAGTCAGATTAGATACTGTATGTCAAAACACTTTGAAACTTGTGGAATTTGATGGCAATATAAAATGGAATTATTATTACCTTTGCCCAGATTTTCAAATATACTCCTTGGAGACGTGGAATAAGACCTTTCTTAAAAACAAATACTTTGCTCACTTTATCAGGGTACTTTTTATTGTCTTTGACCTGTCCTACTCTGGAATTCAAGAACCATCTAGGATTTAGGTATAAGCTAATTAAGTTACAATGTGAGATGTTCCTGGCCTCTAACAAGAAGAGATTGTTTTAAGTTAAATTATTAAGAAAGAATGCAGCTAATGGAAACCCACGTCAGTCCCATGTAACCTTCTGCTCTGTTATAGACTTTTAAGAGTTACAGTACCTCTGTTACTGTAATATTTTCCCAGATTCTGATCCACTCTCCTGAAGTTAATTTCAAAATATCTGTGGTCTTCCTTTTTATGAATTTTCACATAGCCATAGAAAGTTTACTTTGGAACTTTAGAGGTATAGATTGATTTACCAACAGATCCCTGGGAAATCCCTTTGGCATTCAGCAAAAACTCTCAGATTGCCTTTCTTTGTCCTGTGAGAGAACAGTTACTACATTCTACAGTGCCTGGATATTTTACTTAGAATCAGCATTTATTTCACTGCTCTGAAACTAAAAAATAAATAAGAATAAAAAAAAAACTTTGTTCCAGCTAGTTTGTAGAGGGAATATTATGCAGTGAGCACTAAAAAAATTCCCAGAAAGTCTAAAAGTCATTTATAAAAACTTTCTGCATAAATGGATTATATACGTTTCAAAAAAAGTTCTCCTAGAACCTCAAAGAGCTCCATTGTGAGACAGGCCTGGCGACTTTTAGTTGTGAGACCACACATGTGATGAAAGTGTTTTGAAAGCTGTGACAGGGCACACAGATGTGCTATGATACAGTTACTTGTTTTGTCACTATTGCTGCCAGGGAAAATTCTGTTTCATCTGGAGAACAGAGTGATGTCCTGAACATTAGACTCCTGATGGCCTGATGTCCCCCTACTTGATTTCTAAGCTTTAATTATTTAAGTACATTAAAGGGGCGCCGTTAGCAGCCTTTTTGTTTTGAAATAGTCATTGAGCAAATATTACTAAACACCTGTGTTCTGTTGGCACTTCTAGGTGCGAGAAATAGGACATTGAGACCCACCTGGCTCTCACCTTCAGGATGTCTTCAATCTGGAAGAGGAGACAGATATTTAACAAAGAGCAATAGAAACATCATTTAATGACTGTTATGGTTTGTGCAAGGAGCCCTGGTGCCACAGTGGTGAAGCACTCAGCTACTAACCAAAAGGTCAGTGGTTCGAACCCACCAACTGCTCTGTGGGAGAAAGATGTGGATCTGCTTCCTTAAAGATTAAACCCCATTGCTGTCGAGTGGATTCCAACTCATAGACCCTAAAGGACAGAATAGAACTACCCCACAGGGTTTCTAAGGCTGTAAATCTTTATGGAAGCCGACTGCCACATCTTTCTCTCATGGAGTGGCTGGTGGGCTTGAACCACCGACATTTTGGTTAGCAGCTGAGTACTTTAACCACTGTGCCACCAGGGCTCCTCAAAGATTACAGCCTTGGAAACCCAATGGGGCAGTTCTACTTTGTCCTGTAGAGTGGCTGTGAATCGGAATCGACTTGACAGGAACGGACGGAAAAATAAAGTGTGCAGGGAGAGTTAATAACTGAGGGGCCATATGATATGGTGGGAGATTGGGGGTTTCCTTCCTGAGGAAGTGATATTTAATCTGCGATGAAAGTCAAGTATGACTGGTCACTTCTCTGTGGCTTTTGCATGAAATAGAAGCATCTTATTTCTGATTGTCCTAGTGTCAGAGTTTCAGAGGGCCTTGATCAATCCAAAGACTTAATTTTGATAGAATTAAGCCAGAGAAGGGTTCCCATAAAGTACTTTTTGTATATCGAAAATTAAAATATAGAGAGAAGTTGAGTAACCTAAGGTTAGTCAATGATTCATTCACTAACAGGTATTTGAGTACCTTCTGTGATCAGTATTATAAGTCATGTTAGTAGTTAAGAATAGATTCATTCCTGATATTCTGCTTCTCCAGCCACTTCACTAGTCAAGCATGGCCAATGAGACTTCTTACCGCATATTGAGTAAACACAATGGCAATACAGTGTATTTCTGATTCCGTGTTTGTGTCTTTGTTTTAAACTAAGCCTGTAGTCCCCATCCTTGGGCTTTAGATTCCTGAGGGAACAATTTATTTAGTTCAGGGAATCCTCAGATTCATAGTCTGGCATGTGTTTTTTCAAATAAGAGATGATGAAAGTCCAACCACTGTCATGTGGGTGCTCCCTGCAATTTTTTGAAACCTTAATCCTCATGGTGGAAAAGGACAGGAGCCGCGAAACTAAATGATAAATGACATAACTGGTTCAGATTAGTTTCAATCAGTGATAAAATATATACCCTCTGTGTTTTTTGATGCTCAGTTTAGCCCTAGACTGGCGATTGTGAGGAGGATGCAGGAACAGGCAATGTTTCATTCTGTTGTACGTAAGGTCACCATGAGTCGGAGATGACTCGACAGCAGCTAATAACATAGTCCGGCGGTTGTTTTGTTGGTGCCGTCGAGGCAAGTCCAACTCAGCAACGCCATGTGACAGAGTAGAACTGCCCCATAGAGCTTTCTAGGCTGTAATTTTTACAAGAGCAGATCACTGGGTCTTTCTCCCACAGAGCTGCTGGGTGGGTTTAAACCACCCACCTGTATGTTGGCAGCTGAGTGTTTAACTCTTGCACCACCAGGGCCCCTAACGTAGTCCTGGAGCTTAGCAAAAGTAACTGGAGCTTGAGATTCACATTATATTTTGAGTTATATGTTTTTTTACCATGTTCTTTAATTATGTAATTTTACTTTAACAAACATTAAATCTTAAAATAATTGTCAGTCTGTACTTGAATTTTTTTTTTTTTTTTTTGGTAGGTGTTGCTTCAGCATGCTACTTTATTGGAAAATCCAGAGCATTTGTATTTTTCTCCCCCTTTCCTGTAAGACTCTTTTGTGCATCTTATAGATTATATAAGATTTAAAGAATTTAAATTGGATTGCAACCACGTACTTGTTTTTGTTTTTTCAAGTCACTGTTTATAACAGTTCCTACCAAAAGCCTGGGGAGGGAGAATATTTTTCCTCGTAACCTGACAGAAGCAATTAGGTGCCCGATTGATCTCCTTGGGTTATTTCTTATAAATCTGTTCGTGAATATGCCCTGTGTGTGGTGTGTTTTACTTGATAACCTAACCTGAGCATTTTATCTGTGTTTTAAAACTGATATGTTGAGATTTAGAAGAGTGGAAATATACTTCACATAAGCTGTTGAAACCAACACAGTCTTAGATACAATAAAAGAACGAGGTGGGTCAAAGGTATAGTTTACCTCAGCCTTGTCATTATGCAACTAGTTTAGAATGTTTTTGACGTATCACTTCCCTCTGCCTTCCCACCCTTTACTGACTGGTAAGCTTTGCCTTTTGCAAAACTTATTTTAAAGTTACCTTAATAGCCACTATTGTAACATGAGACCTAATGGGGCATCTTGCAAGTTGGGAGTTACCATTTTAGTTAAACCAGATTTAGCGACAGTTTCTCACTTAGAAAACCAATAATTCATCTTACGGTGTCTGAAGTGAGTTGCAGGCCAGAGGGTGTGATTTATTAGATCTGATCACCTATGACTAAATGTGAGAATGCACCACCTTCTACTAGACACTGTGAATCATTGACAAAAGAGGAAGGAGGGGAAAATTAGTGTGGGAGTTATGAGATTCAAGGACAGAAGATTCTTGAGAAAAATTACTCTTGTCAGGGGAACAGCAAGAAGGTGAGAGATAACAGAGAGGTGAAATTAGGGAGAAATCTCTTGGAACCAGATGGGAAAGTATCCTGGAGATTGCCCTCTTCTCCACTCCCTGCCCCGAACACTCAACGCTCCAGAACAGTCTCTTACCTCCTGACTTGTCAGAAGTTTTCAATTACTCGTATATGAGCCTTTTCATCAATAGGAACACTTCCCAGGTGTGTAAATTAATAAGAAAATAATATAACCACTTGCCCCTGGAATATGTTTACTGCTGTGATTACTGGTAATTAATTTGTATTACAATGCTTTAGAACTCCCTCTACAGTTATTCCTAAGTTAAGGTTGTGTTTGGTAGCATTTTGTCTAATATACAGAGTGAGGTATAGATATAGTATTCCACTAATTGAGTTGCTTCTATAGGAAAGAATCTAAATGTAGATCTCTTAGGCTACCAAGTAGTTTGCTGCAAAATACTGATGAATTGGGATGTGAATAAGTACAATAGGAGAAAGAGATTTTGTGGTCAAATAAGTTTGGGGAATGCTTGATTAAATGAGTTTCCTTAAAGACACCAAAGCTTTTAATATGCTTTTCTGCGATATGATTTTCCAAAGGAGGGGTGTTCAGTCATCTCCTCAAATGATTTGACCATGGTAACCTTTTTGGGGAGGGACTGATATTCTGTGGAACGTTCATTGAGAAATGCTGCCATAGTCTCAACTGCCCTATTTTACAGAGGAGGTTAAGAGATAGGTCCAGCCATTGGTTTGTGGCAGACCTTCTGTGACATACTAAATACCTGGGAGGGTGTCAAACTTCTCCCTGAGATAAGCCTTGAAGATGTAAGGTCAGGAAAGGACCAGGCCTCTGAAAAAATGATGCATTATTCCAACCGTTAAAAAGAAGAAGGAGTTTTAAAAAACATGGAGTGATTGCTTGGCTATCAGAGTCTCTGTTTGAAGCCAAGAGGACCCCACTGTGGACTCAAGAGAATGGAGAGAGGGAGATGTTTTGGAGAAAAGGTCAGAGAGGGGAATGGAATAGGCAGAAGGGACACAGCAGCAGTGTGGGCAAGAAAAGCATATCTAGATCTTTGAAAGGTCTCATTTACCACAGCACTCCAGCTAGGCACTGGTGTGCCCAATATGATTATTTGGATACTTGGCTGCAGTGGTGCCAGGCAATCCTAGCAGCTAATTTCCTGGATTATTTAAATGACATGAATGTTACTTTAATATAGCAATAACCAGTTGCCATTGAGTTGATTATGACTCATGGCAACCCCATGTGTGTCAGAGTAGAACTGTGTTCTATAGGTTTTCAGTGACTGATTTTTCAGAAGTAGATCACCAGGCCTTTCTTCCAAGGTGTGTCTGTGTGGACTTGAACCTCAAAACTTTTGGTTAGCAGGTGAGTTTATAACTGTTTGCACCACCTGTTGTTAAGTGTTGTTGGGTGGGTTCTGACTCATAGTGACCCTGTATACAACGGAACAAAACACTGCCCGGTCCGCTATCATGCTCACAGTCGTTGCTATGTTTGAGCCCATTATTGTGGCCACTGTGTCAGCCCATCTTGTTGAGGATCTTCCTCTTTTTCTCTGACCCTCTGCCTGAGCAAGCATGATGTCCTTCTCCAGGGCCTGGTCCCTTCTGATAACATGTCCAAAGTACATGAGACTCTAGGCCTCCTTAATACAGCAAACTGCTGGTTATTTCTGAAATTGGGCATAGTCCATATATAGCATTAAACCCTTATTTTAAAGAGTCACTTTAGCTTCCTTCCACATCAGGCATTTTATGTACCAGAATTGAGGAGTATTAAAGAGTTTGAGATTTCGGTCTTTCCCCACAGTCTAGCATTGGTGCTAATGGGCAGTGAAAAGGTGGCCTAAGTGCAGAGATGAGGTGGGGGAATAGATTCAACTGGAGCATGGATACCCAAATGTTAAGGTTTACTGTAAAATGAATATATTTTCAAAGTGTAGAATTGAAAGTAATTGCTTGTTTATTACTCTTCATAATTAAGTTGTTCAGTTAGTGCCAACAGGATCCTTAGTCCAGTGAAGATACAGAAGCCTTTTGGCATATATATACAGAATAGCTATGAAAGCATTTTAATTGCTAAATAGTTACAGAGAACCCCCTAAAAATGCTGAAGAGATTCAGAGTAAGGCAAAAGATCCCTGGCTTAAATTCTGTCTTTTCTTCATCCTAGCTCTGAGCCTCAGTTTCTTCTGAAAGTGGAGATGATAATATAGGCCGTAGAATTGTGATAAGGATGAAAAGTGATAGCATGAAAGCACCTAAAACAGTTCTGTCACTTAATAAATAGGGACTTCTGTTGTTGTTGTTACTAATTTATAAAGTTGCTCAGAAAGGTCTGTAAAAGAGAAGTCATTTCCTTTGACCAAATTCAAATAGTATCTGAAGAGGAATTTTGAGTTAAAATTTGGAGAGTAGGGTGGTCAGCAGGAAACCATGGGAAAGGCCAGAGGTGAAGTTCTTCGAGAGGTAGTAGGAAGGAGCCCTTTCCTTGAAGGGTGTCCTCTGACAGTGGGTTAAGGGAAAGTGTTTGTAGGTCACGGTTGCAACCAGAAAGGATTGGACACATCTGGGTAACCTGGCTAGACAGATGCCCGTGAGCAACATGGCACTTGACCAACTGGGTTTGAAATCTCCTGGCACAGTGGTTTAGAGCTTGGCTGTTAAGCAAAAGGTCAGCAGTTCGAATCCACCAGCCGCTCGTTGGAAACTCTGTGGGGCAGTTCTGCTCTGTCCTATGGGGACTCAACGGCGATGGGTTTAATCAGTAACTAATGAGCCTTGGTGGCACAGTGGTTAAAGTGCTTACCTGCTAACTGAAAAGTCAGTGATTCGAACCCACCAGCTGCTCCATGGGAGAAAGATGTGACAGTCTACGTCTGTAAAGGTTTACAGCCTTGGAAACCCTATGGGCCAGTTCTGTCTGTCCTATAGGGTCACTGTAAGTCGAAATCGAGTCGATGGCAATGGATTTGGTGTTTTTTTTGTTTTAATCAGTAACCTGGTGGCACAGTGGTTAAGCGCTCAGCTGCTAACCAAAAGGTGGGTGGTTCAAACCCACAGGACGCTGTGTGGGAGAAAGAGCTGGTGATTTGCTCCCTTAAAGATTACAGCCTAGGAAACCCCATGGAGCAGTTCTGTAATGTCATACATGTTGTCACATTGTGTTGCTCTGAGTCAGAACTGAGTTGACGGCACACAATAACAGCAACACTCAGTAACACTACTTATGGCCTGTGTGTGTCCCGTAACATATGCTAGTTAATGGCAGTGGGGAGGTCATACTAGAGATAAGAACATTGGTAATTCAGGAAAAACTTGATGTTTTCTTAAATATTTTATTTAAGTGAAGATTTTGAGGAAATGCAACTGTAAAAAGTATTTCCCTCTGTGCACATGAATATATAATAATTATGATGCTTATCAAACTATCTTATTTACATCTTTAAGTAATTTTTTTTTTTTTACTTTGTTAGTAACACCTATTTAAAAAAACGCCAGGAGAGAAAAAGGTGTTGGATATTTTCCCCTGATGTATCATATGCAAATTGTCAGCGACATCTCTAATGCTCAATCTCCACAAATTGTTGACAACAGAGAGCGTAGTAGGAACATAAATGGAGAGACTAGAAATGGATTTTATTTTTCAAGCCCCTGTGCGAGTTCACAGTTGTGCTGCCGAGGAGAAGCTCTTTCATTCTGGAATAGAGCTCGTTCTCTGTGCAATGTCATTGAGAAAATGGAGAGGGTTTCTTTCCCTTCTCAGTTGTGGCACTTTGTCTTTCATTCTTTTGCGTCGCAGCCAACCTGGTATTTTAACGACTGGAGCTTTTTGAATTTATTTTCATTTATTTCTGGACATCTTTTTGTTTTTAAGGAAAATGTAATAGAAATTTACGTCACATAATAGAGCATTCTTTAAAATAGTGGAGGGAAATGCAAATTAAAACCACTGTGAGATACCAGTTCACACCCACTAAACCAAAATCAGACCAAACCATTTGTGCCACCCAGGGGCCTTCAAGCCATACTTGTTGCCATGGAACCGATTCTGACTCATGGTGACCCATATATTGGGGAGTAGAGCTGCATTCCATAAGGTTCTCAGTCAAGGCTCTGACCTTTCAGAAGCAGATTGTCAGGCCTCTATTCCAAGGAGGTGGGTGTGCACCAACAACCTTTTGATTAGCAGTCAAGTGCTTAACCATTTGTGCCGCCCAGGGACTCCTCACACCCACTAGGATGGCTATAATTAAAAAAAAAATAACAAGTGTTGGCAAAGATGTGGAGAAATTGGAACCTTTGTGCATTGCTCATGAGAATATAAAATGGTGTAGCCGTTGTGGAAAACAGTTTGACAGTTCCTCAAAAAGTTAAACATAGAATTACCATAAAACCAAAAAAACCAAACCTATTGCCCTCAAGTCGATTCTGACTCCTAGAGACCCTATAAGGACAGAGTAGAACTGCCCCGTAGGGTTTCCAAGACTATAAATCTTTAGGGATGTAGACTGCCACATCTGCGGAGCGTCTGGTGGGTTCAAACCACCAACCTTTACGTTAGCAGCTGAGTACTTCAAGCACTGGGCCAGCGGGGCTATGACCCAGCAGTTCTACTCCTAGGTATATACCTAAAGGAATTGAAAGTGGGGACTCAAACAGATACTTGTCCACCAGTGTTCATTGCAGCATTATTCATAATAGCTAAAAGATGGAAACAACCCAAGTGTCCCATCAACAGATGAATAGATAAACAAATGGAATATTATTCAACCATAAAAAGGAATGAAGTTCTGACACATGAAGCACCGTGGATGAACCCTTGAAAACATCATGCTGAGTAAGTCAGTCACAAAAGGACAAATACTGTATGATCTCACTAGAATAGGCAAAGTCATAAAGACAGAGAGTAGATTAGAGGCTCCCAGGGGCTGGGGGAAGAGGAGGATTAGGAATTACTGCCTAATGGGTACTGAGTTTCTGCTTGGGGTGATGAAAAACTTTTGGAAATAGTGCGATGGTTACACAACATTGTGAATATAATTAATGTCACTGAACTGTACATTTAAAAATGGTTAAAATGGCAAATTTTATGTTACTATATATTTTACCACAATAAAATAAAACCTTCAGTGAAAATGCTTATGTTCAGTTCTCATGGTATAGAGCATAAGAGTAGGTTATCATTTTTTTCATCATAGGTTTTTTTATCATAGGTTAACAATTTTTAATTTATTTGTTTTATCCTTTATTTCATCTTAAGATAATCATTTGAATATCTTCAAATAGAAGGGGATATTTAGAAAGACCAAGTCTGTTACTTGAAATATGGAAACAATAACCAGATATATTTTAATGTAATTGCACCATATGACTGATGCCAGACACTCTGACTTGCTTACTTTTTACTTTCCCCTTGACTGACACCTGCGAGCTCTCGCATGTTTCAGTGCCTGCCTTCCAGTTGCCTCAGCATTGCCTCAGCTACTTGTGGTTCTTGGACTGTTACTGGTACCAAAAAGCAAGCCCTCTCTGCCCATCAGGTTACTCTGTCGCCCAACATGAAACAAAAGCCAGAAATGCCCCCATGAAGTACCAGGTAGAAAATCCAGATGGGCGAGGTCTTGAGCATGCTCAGAGCATCCCTCTGGCAAAATCAGAAATTAAATTTGACACATACGGTCTAGTTAAACCTTGGTCAGAAAGGCCTCAGCAAAACATTGTATGCTCAGTTTTTCCCCCCTTAGGGGAAATTCTTAAGATACTGCTTAAAGCACCTGTAAGTAACATAGATGAAATTGAATATGTTAGGCCATATTGACTATAGCAGTAATGGAACTGCTGTGCCAGAATATGGAATTAAAGCGCTTTGCCTGTGTGATATAAAGTGTTGTATATGATCCTATTACAGTTGTAAATATTTGGTGTTAATGTTCAATTTAATTATTGTGTTTTATTTCTAGCCACCGAATAGCTACATGACCTTAAGGAAGTTTCTTAATGCCGTTTCTGCTCTTTGGCAAAATAAGCTTAGTAATATCTGCCCCTTCCTATCTCAGAGTGATTTCTTGATTACAGAGTGAGATAACATATGTGAAAGGACTGTGGAAGTAAAAGTGCTGTATACATGCCAGGTCTTGGTGTTCTGTCCTGTTAACTTTTAACTTCTTTCTCTTACAACAATGTATGCTACACGCGGATTTAAATTGGTGAACTATTCTAAGCCACCTAAACTTAGAATAGTGATAGGTGACTTGTGTCTCTTATTCTTAATTTGTTTTCCTAACCCACAC